TTGCATGGAGTAAACTGCGCGAGCCCTTGTTGTGGGGGAGGGGACTCCCGTCTGCTTGGTGGTGGATTTTGTACCTTTTGGTTGTAGTTTCAGGGTCGCAGCTCGCCTCAGGAAGGTTGAAGTGCACTCTTCAATCTTCTCTCTTGTCTCTGCTCCAAACCATCAGCTATTTTGCTAGGGTTCTGTCCTTTCCGCCTCCTTCTGGACGGGAGCTTCTGTAAAAAGCTGGCTGCAGTTCGCCATCTTGGCTCCGCCCACCTTGCTGATTTTTTAAGATAATTTTTGGACTTACTTTTCTACATTCTCTTCAATTCTGTTCATCTTATCTGCTATTCATACTCTTTTTTTGTTTGTTTTGAAACAGAGCCTCAAGGTGTCCCCTTGGGTAGAGTGCTGTGGCATCACAGCTCATAGCAACCTCCAACTCCTACGCTCAAGCGAGTCTCCTGCGTCAGCCTCCCAAGTAGCTGGGACCATAGGCGCCCACCACAACGCCCGGCTATTTTTCGGTTGCAGCCATCATTGTTATTTGGCGGGCCTGGGCTGGATTCGAACCTGCCACCTTAGGTGTATGTGGCTGTCACCTTAGCCACTTGAGCCATAGGCGCCGAGCCGATTCATACTCTTAATTCCATTCATCTCATTTCAACAATTTCCTTACAAATGGCATCTTCTGCCAGATCCACCCACACTCTGTAAGGGAAGTGCTTGGCAATGGATATCTGGCTCTGGCTTAGAGAAGCTGTTGGTCTCCTCAGCAAGATTGGCTTGGTTTGGGGGAAGGAGGCTCTTTCTTCGTTCTGGGTATCCACTGGGACTTCTGTGCACAGGAATCTGGTCACTCACCAGACTACCCCACCAGGGTGCTGCAGGGTATAGCACTGGGTTCCCTGTAGCCTGTACCAATACAGATCATGTGGAGTCTCTACCTCTCTGTCTTTCATCTCCACTTCGCCTCTTTCCCTGATTGGGTTCCCTTCCTGCTTCTCCTTGCCATTTCTGGAGTCCTGCACAGTCACTTTATGTTCTCACATTGCTGTTTTTGAACTGGCAGTCTGAATGGCGGCACCTGCACATGTTTCTCTCCACTTTTGTCAGGAAAGGCTGCAAGGAGACCACCACTGTGCTGCCCTCTTAGCCCCTCCTGTTTCCAGAGACTAAAAAATGGGGATAGTTGCTTATTTTTATAATTTTCACTAGTTATGGTGGTTTTGTTGGAGAGAGATTCTGAGGACTCTTCAAGCTATAATTCTGGAAGTGTTTTTTACTCATTTTAGGAGTCTTTTTTTTTACCCTCAGATCATACCCTTAATTCAGAGGTTTTCAAACTGTGGCCCTTGCGTTAAGTCTGGTCTGCTGCCTGTTTTTCTAGGTAAAGTTTCATTGGAACACAGCTGTGCCCATTCATTACATATTGTTTGTGTCTAACAGAGTTAAGTAATAACAACTTAATCATGTAGCCCATAAAGCCTAAAATATTTATTTTCTGGCCCTTTACAGAAAAAACTGCCAGTTCACACTTTAGTTGATAAGCTTTACTAAAAGCTCTTACTACTTAAATATATAGCACATCTGTAAAACATATGAGCTATCAAAAACACCAGCTACAATTAAAATCATATTTACATTAGAATAAAGACAAAAATGGCAGATACATAATATAAAACTTGATCTTTCTTTCCCACTATTTTCAGATCTGGTAGCTCAGCGGGGAGAAAGATTGGAATTATTGATAGACAAAACAGAAAATCTTGTGGATTCGGTAAGTATGGAATATGATTAATTTTTTTTTAGTATATAAAGTAGAGAAACTACAGAAGATGGCCGACATAATAGGAAAATCCCTTAAATTCCATACTTTGGGGTTTTTTTTTCCTTTCCATGATTTTTTAATAGCCATTAAGGTAGCTTTGATTTGAAAAACATACTCAGTATATAGAAATAATTTTCTAAGTGTCCAGCCCACAGGCCACATGCAGATAATGTATTTTTTTGCTTATCTGTGTTGGTGGATATCATGAAAATTATGCACAGAACTTTTTATTTTTTGGCTCATCAGCTTTCATTAGTGTTTTTGTTTAATGTGTTTTAGTGATTAAAAGCACAAAGTGTAGAATCATGCTGCCTAGATTTGAATTTCACTTCCATCACTTACTAGTTGTGTGACCTTTAGACAAGTTACTTAGCCTCTTTGTACCTCAGTTGCCATCTTCTTTAAAATGGATATAGCATTTTGAGAAATAAATTAGATAATGCTTGTAAAGTGCCTAGCAGTAACACAATTTAATACAGTATCTAGTATGGTGTAAGACCTATTTAAGTGTTTCTTGTAATGAATTTTATAGGGACATCTCTTAACAGTAGGTCTTTTTTTCTTTTTTTATTAAATCATAGCTGTGTGCATCAATGTAGTCATTGGGTACAGTGTGCTGGTTTTATATACAATTTGAAATATTTTCACCAAACTGGTTAACATAGCCTTCATGGCATTTTCTTAGTTATTGTGTTCAGACATTTATATTCTGCATTTAGAAAGATTCACATTAACAGTAGGTCTTGAGAGGATTACACAGTACTGGATTTTGTAGCATTTAGTAAACAGTTTTTCTAGTAAACAGTTTTTTATCAATGCATGTGGTAATTGAAGAAGGAAAGAACCATGCAGAAAGTCAAAACACATGGGTTCTAGATCTCACTTTGTGACCCATTCCTTGGTGGGGATGGCAGAAAGAAGGGCAAAGATAGCAAAGAAATACCTGATCTCAGATCTGCAAGCCAATTTCGTTGGTACTTCTGGTCTATCTCTTAGTCATTCTTAATCCCTGAAAATTACCCTATTTAGCTAGAATGATCTGTGTTTGACCACTACTGGTATAGCCCATACTTTCCACATAAAAGTCTTCTTAATTTTGTTGACTACATGACCCAGAATAACAGAAGGCACTAATGAACTGTTATCTCTCTATGGTAGAATAACATACATGTAGAAAAGTCCATCAAGTATACTACTTTTAAGTGTATGGCTCAATTATTTTTTACATATGTCTGTGCTCATGTAACCTACATCAAGATATAAAAGATTTCCAACACTCCAGAAGGGTGTCTCGTACCCCTTCCAGTTAATAATCCCCCATAGAGGTAATCATGTTTCTGACTTAGATCACCATATTGTTTTTCTTGTTCTTGAAATTTATGGAGTTCTAATCATATGTCATATACTCTTTTGTCTCTGGCCTCTGTCATTCACTGGTATGCCTGTGAAATTTGTCCATATTATTGATTATAGTAATATTATTTTTATTGTTTTCTACTATTCCATTGTATGAATATTCCTACCACAATTGATTTATTCATTCTCCTCTATGGGGTTTTATTTTTAGATGCTTCATTTTGTTCCCTTGATTTGTTTGTCTGCCTTTATGCCAGTGCCACACTGTTACTTACTGTAGCTTTATAGAATTCTTAAAATTAGTATAAGTCCTCTGACTATGTTTATCTTTTTCAAAATTGCACTCTTATAGGTCCTTTGTGATAGGTAAAAACTGAAAGGAGCAGAACACTCAAGACCAAAGTGTAACAATGACATAATGTTTATTTTGACACTTGGTACAAGTGGGCTAAGATCTAAAGGATGTCAGCAGCATTAGGGTGGGATCCAGTTCTATTTATGACAGGCCAAAAAGCAGCTGACTTTACATACAAGTCTTTCTCACCAGGGTGCCAAGGAAATGCAGCTCATTATTGGGACTCTCTGGGTCAGCTCTTCTTATCAGGGGGTCAAAGGTTTGTGGTATGAACATATTTTCTTATGGGTTTGTAACTGGACAGGTGCAAAGATGTGATGAGCCTGCAGCATGCCTCCCTTATCTGAGTTAGGACCATCTGTAACAGAATCTCACAGAATGGGTTTTTCAGATCTAAGATGGAGTTAGCTTGGCCAAGCTAACATTCCTGACTATTTGTTTTATTATGTTTTGGGTATTGGGGCATTGTTCTCATAAACTGCTTCCTATATGACTTCATGATGGCGTGGAAACCTAAAGGGAAGTATTGTTAGGGTATGGATTGTATCTTGGGTGAGCTTGCAGGAGAAAAAGTTCTCCTAAAGATTTGTTAGTGATATTTGGTTATTAGGTGAAGGTGGCAGTGAGCAAATAGTAAAATAAGAAGAAAGGTTATTATGAGTCCTATAAAAGGTAAGAGCTTGGTTATTTTGGGAAAGTTGATTATACGGTTAACCAGATGGAGTCTTCTATCCCTTGTTGGGTGAACTTCCTGAGCCAGGCAGAATTTACTAATTTTCTGGGTCTTCTCTTCAACCTGGCCTATGGCATTGATGAAAAAGCAGTAAGAGGTGTTAACCTTATTTGCAGGCTCTACCTTCTTTTGTTAGGACATAGTCTAAGGCCATCCTATTATCTGCTGTCATGCATGTTAGGGAATTTAGAGAGTGAGTTCATAGTTTAAAATTTTCACATGTGTCCTGGATACTGGCTATAGATGTTGTTACAGTTTTTGTGGTGATTGTATTATATGTAACTTCTGCCAATTCTCCTCTACTCATTAGGGTTGTAACACCTTCTATTATAGGGCCTATTATTTTCTTAAGTAAATGTGAAAGTTTTTTGTTTTGTTTTGGAAGGTATGTCTCTATAGTTTCAGGAGGTGGCAGGGTATATCTTACTGCCTACATGCCTACTATTTATCTTGGGTCTAAACGTTGCTAAACAGCTATTTCTTTCTTTTTCTGGATTGTCGTGAACATCAGGCTGGGAAGGAGACAGATCATCTTAGGTGTGGATGGGAGGAGTGAAGTGTCTTGAAGAGGGAGATTTTGTCACCAACTTAAATAATCAGCAGAAGGATATGGCCTGTAGCAGCCAGTAGATGTGCTTTCTAAGACAGATTAGTTACACAGACTGAAACGGGATAATGTGATCTAGTAGGACTTTGATGACTTCTAAGGCTTTCCTAGAAGTGGTTGGAAGGGCTTTGACTTATTTTGAAAAGGTATTTACTAGCATTAATAAGTATTTGTGTCGTTTATGTGTGGGCACATAAGTGAAATCAGTCTGCCAATCCTGGCAGGGGCTATAATCTGGCCTAGTGGGTAGAAAATGAGGGAGGTCACAGGCCTTGGGGAAGAGACTATGTAGCAGGTTTTGTAGTTTCCTGTTACGGTGGTGAGGAGTTGGTAAAGATTTTTATAGGTGAGTATGGGCTTTAGGAATTGAATGAGAGGGTGATGGCCAATGTGAAATGAATGAATTATGTAAGTGCTGGAGGATTTGGGGTGCTTGATTTTTAGGTAGAATATACTGGCCATCTGCCTTTATTGGTCACCAGCTGGGGACAGAATAAAAGTTACTGTTCAGTTGCTTCCCAGGAACACTGGCCTTGAAGCATTCCAGGAGTTAGGCGGGGAGTGGGGGGTGTTGCTGTGATTATGCAATTTGGTTTCTGGCCTTCTTCCCACCAGCTGTTTCTGATCAGGAGGGGCAGTGTTTATATTGGGAAACAGAGATAGAAGATTATAGGTGTCTGTCCAGTTGGAGGGTAGGCAAGAATATGTTTTGTTTTTGCAAGCAAAAATAGGCTTTTGTGGCAGACATGAGCTAAGTTGAAATCAAGAAGAGGATGGAGAAAATTGTAAATTTTCCAATTTTGTCCTGGTCTGTTACTTGAGACAGAAAAGTAATTGGCAAGTGATCTCCCAAGAGGGGAGATTAGCCCATTTGTTTGTGGGGGACAACTGAGTGTGTGGATTTAAGGGAAAGGTTTCTGCATGTTAGGTCTAAGATAAGAAAGAGGAAGAATATACTAAAGTTGGGGATGGGTTCTGAGAAGAAAATGGGTTGTAAAAATAACCTATTGGCAAGAGGTGACAGAGTATAATCTATCTTTTGGGATTGGAAAGTGTTGGGTGGGAAATTGTTGTAAAGATTTAGAGGTAAGGTGTTCAGGAAGAGCCCAGGACCAGTGAGGGTCATGTAAAAGGGGGATGGGTTGAGAAGGTTTATGATTGATGTTACCATTCCAGAGATGGGAATTGCAGTGTAAGAGTGTGAGTAGGTGTTTTCTGAAAAGGTCTGGAACAGTTTTATTGTCCTGTTGGCTATAGTGGTGGGATAATTTCTTTCTTTCTTTTTTGCTTTTTTTTGGGCCGGGGCCAGGTTTGAACCCACCACCTCCATTATATGGGGTCAGCACCCTACTCCTTGAGCCACAGGTGCTGCCCAGTGGTGGGATAATTTCTTAAGCAGGTTGTCTTCTCAGTCAGAGAAGGAGGCTCCCTTCTTGTGGTAGGTTAAGTGTATGATGGATGTGTTTTAAATGTAACTAGGAACTGAAATGATTTATCATTTAGATAGAGTTAATGAAGATTAGTTTAGTAAAAACGTATTGGGTTTAGTAAGTACTGAGGTATAACATCAGGGAAGTTTAAAGGGGCTAAAGGGGATATTAAGGTAAGGAAGAAGGCAGTTTTACCTAAAGAGTTAAATCTTGTTATGAAAAATTCAAGAAGTCTTCCTGGAGGTAAAGGTTTTAGAGAAGTGTGAGGTTTCTGACTGAGGAGGGTTAGAATTACAGATAAAATTAAATTATATAAATGTCCCAAGGAGGGCATCTTGATGCCTTGTAGCCTGGCTGTTGTTGGGGTAGTCAAAGAGTTATCTGATTTGAGGTTAGGGATTTGGGTGGAAGGTTTTGAGATACACCTAATTTCTTGGTTGGAGGGGGCCACTCTGAAATAACGGGCTT